TGAAAAACCTTTCTCAACCAGTTGTCCCACACTCATCAGATTGTTTTTCATGCCAGGTACATACCAAACATTTTAGATCACAGCTGCTTTCCCATTGTTTAGAATGATTCTGACATTTCTCATACCTTCTGCATTGAGGTATTTGTCATCAGCACATCTGATCTTTGTACTCTTCCCAGAGTCAAAGTCAACCAACCACTTCTTGTTTCCAGTAAGATGGTTTGAACACCCTATGTCCATATACCACCATTCTGATGAATTCAGATCATCAGGTTCAGAAGCCAACAATAGCACAGGTTCATCATCAGAGTCTCCTCTTGCTATATTTGCTTCTTCTGACTTCTTTTCTTTGTTGGACCAGCAATCTCTGGCATAGTGACCAAAGTTCTTACAACAGTAACACTGAATATTCTTCTTGTCAGACTTCTCCTTTCCCTTCTAGACATTCTTCTTCCTATCAGAGTTTGAAGCTTCTGACTCTTGACCACCATTAGTTCTCTTCCTGGCTTCTGACCAGGTCTGCTTCTGATGCTTCTTACTAGAAGTTACTTTCAGAGCCTACTGCTCTACTTCCCTCTCAGAAGTTCTTGCAGTCATACGCAACTCATGCGCCTCAAGACTACTTTGCAACTCTTCAACTCTCACGGTGCTCAGATATTTGGAATGTTCAATTGCTACAACAATGTAATCAAACTGAGAAGTTAAAGATCTCAAGATCTTCTCAATAATTACTTGTTCAGACAGAGTTTCTCCACAAGCTTTTATCTCATTAGTAATCAGAATCACTCTAGAGATGTATTCAGAAACCTTCTCGTTGTCCTTCATGTTGAGATTCTCATATTGCTTTCTGAGAGACTGAAGCTTCACGTTCTTCAGTGATGCGTCACCACCGTAACATCTGACCAGTGTGTCCCACGCAGCCTTTGCTGTTTCAGAATCAGCAATCTTCTCAAACACATTCACATCCATACATTGATGGATGTAGAACAACACTTTCTGATCTTTCTTCCTCAGCACCTTCTGTGCTATCTTCTGGGCCTCTATTGCTTCTACTTCTAACAGATTATAGCCATCAGTGACAAGATCTAACACATCTTGAGAACCAAATAACACGCGCATCTGGATCTTCCAACGATTCCAGTTTTTGCCATCAAATACTGGAAGCTTGGAATGAATATCGTCGCTTCTGTTCATCTTCTACCTTGTGCAATTTACGCAAAAACTCAATGAAAAATCAATGTTTCTCAAATTCCAGAGTTTCTAACCAAGAGCTCTAGATACCAATTGTTGGAGCACAAGGAAGATAAAAGGCAAAAGGAATATTTACTGATAGCTTCAAAGAATAAGGATTTACAATGAATTACAATAACCTACTCCACTAGGCTATTTATACACACAAATTAAATCTAAAATATATCTTCTACAAAGATATAAGAAGATCTAATATATATATATATATATATATATATATATATATATATATATATCTTCTAACAAAGATATAAACAATCTAAAAGATATTCCTAAATATAAATTAATATCTAATTAAATCTAAATTAATTCTAACAATTACCTGTGTATACTATATGTGTTAGCATGTGATTATTTGTGTATTCTATATGTGTTAGCACGGAATCATCTAATAATGTAGTATTGTTGCATTGTATGAGTGAGATATGTTGTTGGGATGTATGTTGTGCTTGTAATAATCTATTGTTCACTTATTATTATACATATCATTATATAATTATGATATCTCACCCTTCTGTTTAAATGTCGTCTCCGTGTGGGTATCACGCGGGTGATCTGCAGTGAAGGTGTGGATGTGTGTGCTCTTCTTTATTTTCTTTCATTGGTGTCAGTGTTTGTTCTGATATGTAACACTGAGGGGTTGAACACTTGATTGTTATGCTATGTTATTTAGATATTTTGTGAAATTTCTTTGTTGCAACTTTCTTTATAGTTACATTATAACATGAGTTATTTTGGAAAATATATTTTATGTTGAATAAATACTTGAATACCTTATTGATGTTTTCCCGCTGCGATAAAATATGTTGAACTTAAATATGGTTGTTATTCGCCATTATTATAAGCAATAATTTCAAAAATCATATGTGTTACATATTACTATAATATGATCAGGTTTTTTGTATTGTCGTTGAATGTGACATCCTAATTCGGTGAAGTTGTTAATTTACTTTGAGTTTTATTTAAAATTAACTGGGGGAAAATTAGGATGTTACATCTTGGGAGCGTAATGTTTGATTTTTTTAATAAGATAAACAATATATTACATCGGTGTTATAAAAACCCGAGGTAATACAACTAGTTAGCCCTTTTTTTTATCCATAAAAAAAATCGTTATCTCGTTTTTTTTTTAGAATTGAGGTAATATAACTATAAGAAATCTCGCTTCGAATCTTCGTTGCTACATTTAAAACTATTTTCAATGGTTTATCACCGGGCATCTGTTCCAGATGCCATGTTTTTCTTGTTAATTAGTAATTCTCAAAAACTTTGTTATCAATAAACTAGAATAGACAATAATAGAAAAAGGAAATATTTCATTGATAATAAAAATATAACACAAAAAAGAAAACTACTCAACAAATTCAAACTTTTCAGTCCACTCAACTTCAATATTACCCCTAACTATCCCTAGCTCAGAGAAAAGTTCAGGTATGAGGAAAGTCATTTCCTCCCGAGAAGTGTTTATCATTTTCTTCAAGAAGTTAAAAATGTTAAGAGGAAGATTAACTCTGATGTTGTAGGTGAAGAATAACAAGAGATGCTTTTCATACCAAGTAAGCACTTCCATGTCTTTCTCTCTTGGACGGAGATTTACCACTAGAAGTTACAACCAAAATTTTGCAATTGGGAGTAAATAAGCATGACTGGAGAGCTTATTTTGGTTGGTATAAAGTCGGTGAAGGCAGGTTACGTAGACATTATTGAATTCATAATGTTCAACACAACGACAAAACTTTTCATTGTTGATCGTCATAGCAATCACTGGTGGAGTAATGAAGAAATGAGAGCCATTGACATAAAACTGGATGATTTCATTATGACCAGTTGCTACAACAGAGATATTCATCCAGATCTCTTTAACGAGATTAATGTATATGAGGCCATGAAAAATGTGAAAGTAACCATTCAACTTTTGTTTGTTAACAACTTTCCTTAGTTCAAAATGATTGAAATCATTGAAATTAACATATTTTTTATTGATAACGAACAACAAATTTGCATTCATTTTTTATAAGAAAAAAAGGACTTTAAAATAAGGAAACAAGTCACAAAGAGTTGGTAATGAGACGTTGAAAATAGGAAAAGACTTTGAAACAATGTTTGAAGACACAACGAGTTGGTAATTAGACGTTTAAATATCTCAAAAACCTCCTTAGTAATCCAAAAGAGACGTTACAACTTGAATATAGTTGATAATTGATATTCTAGTGATATAATTTTAATGCATGTGCGCCACGTCAGTGTTTTAACCTCTCTTTTAATTGTATTTTTTATTTGTAAATTAAATGTTCTAACCCGTTAGTGTTCCTAAAAACCGAGGGAAAATTTAACGTTAAAATTGGAACCTATATTTTAATTGTATTTTTATTTTTAAATTAAATGTTCTAATCCGCCAGTTTTCTTAAAAATCGAGGAAATATTTAGCGTTAAAATTGAGGATATTTATCAAATCCTTAATCAAATCCTGGTCGTCCCTTTCATGACTATCAACGCTCAAGACATTACCATTAGTGATTCGCGTGAAACATAAATAGCTTCCATTATAAAAGCATTTTGAATATCAAAAATTAATAATGAAACACTTCAAACTATCCTCCACTTTAAGATTTGCAAGAGTCTTTGTCATGAAGAGTTCTCTATGATTTGAGTTTAAGGTTTTTGTTCTTAAATATTTATTTGAACATAATATTATTTATTTATCTAATCTTTTTTTCTCTTCATATTAGAAACAAATGCAAGAAAAAGCAATTGAGAATATATTATTTTTCAGCATATGATCTTCACAGGATAACAATGATTTGAAGATCCAACATCATGAAGAGTTTAAGGTTTGTAAGAGTGTTTGCCATGAATAGTTCCCTATGATTGATTGCAAGAGCAGAAAACTATTTGAGTTTAAGATTTATGTTCTTAAATAATTATTTGAGCAGAAAATTATTTATTTATCTAACAATTTTTTTGTCACTACGCCAAAAATGATTTTTTGTATCACCTAATTTAATAGCACTTTTAAAAAAAATGCTATTAAAATGGAAAAAACACATTTATAATAGCACTTTTTAATCGGGCGCTATTATATAATACAGACTATGTAATTATGATAGCACTTTGTACCAGAACGCTATTATTAAACTTCTTTAAGATAGCATTTTGTATAAAACGCTATTATTTGACTACCTATATAATAGCATTTATTAAAAAGCGCTATGTTATATATAATAATAAATTAATTAATTAATTGATAAAAAAAAACACATTTTCAGAAAGTTATTTCAATTAGAAACCGAAACAAAATAAAAAAACACAGGAAGGAGAAAAGTCATTCCAAATCCATTACTTGACTGGCCTCCGACGACACGCCGGCAACCGCGAGCGACAACTCAACTGCTTCTGCAACAGCACAATATCGACGCACTCCGGCCCCCTGTAGCGTCACCGGCAGCCACCACTGGGCGTTCGACTCCGACCTCCATCTCCAGCCACTCTCGGTTTTGCTTGCAGGTAAGCAATTTTTTTCCTCTATTTTCTCGATTTGTTGTCGTTGTTGTTGGAGAACTTAAATGCTTGATTTGAATCTTGGATTTCTATTTTGTTGTTGTTCTTATTTTAAGAGAAAGATTGATTTTGTTTTGGGGTTGAAATGGATGAGAGATAGAAAAAACCATGGTTATTGTTCTGCAAGTTGTGGTCTTTTGTGAGAGAGAGTAAGAAGAAGAAGTATCACTGTCTAGAAAGAAAAGAGAGAACTAACATTTCTCTCTCAAGATGTGTGCATTATAATTTGTTTTCTTATAATTTGTTAACAAAAGACCACCGATGGCCACAATAGCTAATTGTAGCCCTCCACATTTTTGAACAATTTCTCTGGACAGCTCCTCAAGTTCTGTTGGACAGTGCCCTCTAAACGTCTTATTGCAAAACAGCTCCCATGCTTTGTCTGGAGGCAAACGTTGTAGCTCATGGACATGAACAGGAAAAGATTTCCTAAAATAATCAGCTACATGCATTTTTCTAGTAGTCACAATGATTCTACTTCCTTTGTTATTACTAATTAAGGCATGTTCAATCCCATCAGAAAAATTATCTTTCCAGACATCATCAAATAAAACCAAATACCTTTTTGACTCAAGGTATTGTCTCACTTGATTAATCAAAGTTTCATCATCCATATTCTGCAGACCCCTTGGAATAGGCTCGTTGCTGTCCTTGCAAAATTTCTTTATCATTTCTGTCAACAGCTCTCTGATGGTGTACGATTGCGAAACAGTGATGAAAGATCTACAATCAAAGTTCTTTTTCACTAGCTGGCTATCAAAAACATGCTTTGCGAGAGTAGTTTTCCCGAGTCCTCCCATGCCAACCAAAGCAACCAACATGAGCTCATTGTTTTCCTCCACCAAGCATCTGACCAATTCATCTCGCGCGGACTCAAATCCTACAACTTGAGTCTCTTCAATGAAATACGGAGCCATTCGAGGGTCACCAATTCTAGGAGCCTTAGTCCTTCCTGCTTCATTTTCAGACAGAAACTCGAACCTTGTACTTCTTTCTTTGATTCTACCAAGTGATAACTTGATGTCTTGAATCTCAGAAGCAATCTGGTGATGCGGATTCATGGTTTTGATCAAACCAGGAATCATTTAGAGTGCAGATCTGAATATAGAATGACTGGCCCTCTCTGCCAAAAACATGTTGTAGTAATCAATCACATCTTCTATGCGAAAAGACGCTTCTCTCACCTGCTTCACCCAAGTTTTGACTCCATTGGATCCATCATCATCATCAGCAGCCTTTGTGTCTGCATCCTTGAGGAAGGCTTGGATGCTCTCAAGTTCATCTTTGATATCATTGAAGTCTCTTTCAATCCCTGCTACTGAATTTCTTTCTTCTACTGTATATTGGCTAGTTTCTTTTATTACAAATTGGCCTAGTTCTTGTAAAACAAATGATACTGCAGTTTCTGCCATATCATTTCAATGTTTTCATCAATCAGATTAGCTTTTGCAAGAATATTTTTTAGCAATCAATTAAGTTCATGTAAAGTGCATTGCTTTTGCAAGAATATTTTTTTAGCAATCCAATTAAGTTGACTAATGAATAGTTTAGTCTACATGGCAGTATTTTTCTAATGTAGTGTGGACAGATACAACTCTTTTCAATTATGTCGGCTATATTTTTGTTTTTTTATATACTGCTTGCAAAGAAAATGTAGGTATAGTAGTAGGTGGTTCTGAATGTTATTTCTTTAATCTTTGAAATTTGGGGGTAATCACCAACCAAGGACTGAATATTTCTGTTAAGAATTAAAATTTGTAACAGTGTTTTTTTGAATTAAAAATTGGCATTTCGTTAATGTTGGATGTTTTTTTGATTTCAGGAAAAACTTGATCAGTGGCTCTGTAGACAGCAAGAGGGTGGATCAAGACTTGCAAACTTTGATATAATTAACTACATTCAGGTTAGTTTCATCACTGTTCTATGTTTTTCATACAATGTTGAGGTTTTATTATTGTTCTCTGTTTTATATGTTACTTGTTAGGAAACATTTCCCTTCTACAATAGTATATATGTATTGTATTCTCTCCTTGATTGAGTGAGATTCTGGTATCTCAATATACTTATTGCTGGAAGAATGTAACTTCAATCCTTTCGGTGCTACTACTCAAGAAGGTGAGGTTTTTAATCACTTTTTTGAATGAGTTTAACTAATCCTTACTGTAGTGTCAAGAATCACTTGCTGAATCACATGTACGACTTCTTAGGTTCATAACAGCTCATTACATGTTCTGTTGTAATGATGTTTAGTGGTTTTCACATTTCAGGTGCAAATTTATGATACATTCATATCGGCAATATACAAAGCAATTTAATCTACTTATTTATTAGAGTTTTAGATTTCAATCCCATAATTAATAAAATTAGTAGTTGATATTTATAGTGTTACAAAGCAGCTTCATTAGGGACAACTGTAGCTGAACTAAAAATTGAGACATTAGGGAGAACTGCAGCTGAACTACAAATTGAGAAAAGGACTCATATAAGTATATATGCAAATTCTCAAATAGGGGCATTTGTTTTATCTAATGCAGTTTTATGAATAAGTTCGCAATGTAAAATGTTGCTAGCGAGTATGTGATGTGGTTATGTTATTGTGTCTCATGCTCAATGCTAGGTATAAATTTACAATTTAAGGTAGAGGAAGTTGAAGCTTTTGTAAAACAACTGGACGGTTCTGTTTTTAGTTGGTGCGAGCTTTTTCATTACTAACGTGACTTGAAGCCAAAGCAAAGATACTAATGCCTACTATTATGGTACTCATCAGATTGAATCTGTTTTGAAGCAACAAGTAACTGCAACTGTTGATAATAATTATCCTTCTATACTTATTTTACTAGAACAACTTGATGGTTATTATGAGATTTTAAACTAATTATATACCTATTCTGATTTAACTGATATAATTCAATATAATACAAATCCATTTTCATATATACTTCATTCATATAATACTTACTTCATATACTTCTTAATTGATGTAATATTTAATTGATATACTTCTTCAAATATAAATGATTCAATTTTCATAATACATAATATGTCATTGCTTCAAGTTGTTATATGGCATTTGATCTCACAATATGTAAGCTTACATTCATAAATGATTATTGTTTCAATACCTAGTCATTTAACATTTATCGATGTAGAACTTACATGTTAATTACTTTTTGAAATTGAGTATCAATACTATTTATAAATAAATTTCTTAAATCATGTCATACATAAACCTGTTACATGTTAAGTACTTGTAACTTATTCTTATAAGAAGTAGTGGAATGACACCAATTCTTAATGCCTAATATTAACATATGATATGTATTTATTGCCTAGTTTCTCTCTAGTTACTCCAACTTATTATCCTAATTTAATAAAACTCTTTATTGATGATAATAAACCTTCTGCTATTGAATATATAAAAAACAATGGTTTACTATCCAACGATGAATTAATATTACTTAATAACTTTGATCAGTATACTTTAGAGGGTATTATGATATATGTATTAGGCAATCTATACCACTCTCTTGATAATGAAATTCCAGCTGTTCGAGTTTTTACTCTGATAGATCATATTGATAAGCATGTTAGATACCATTATAATACAGTTCATAATATGTGAAATAATCAATTTAAAAGTAGAGTTTCAAATGTGAAATGATCCAAGATGGAACATAATTTGGTTGTTAGAACCAATTTTTAACTAGTTATATATGTTACTTGTTAGGAAATATGGATCGAAAATGGATGTTTGCCAATCGAGCGTCAAAAGAATATGAAGATGGAGTTCGTGAGTTCGTTAGGTTTGCTATTGCTCATGCTGAAGACACTAGTAAAATCATATGCCCTTGCTTAGAATGTTGTTATACGGATGTTAGTGCAAATGTTTTGGAAGATCACTTAATATGTAATGGAATTGATAAAAGCTACACATGCTGGATAATGCACGGGGAAAAAAAAAACCAAGTCCACAAAAAGGAGCAATGGGAGAGATTCATCAAATGATTTTGAAAAAGATACGAATTATGCGTTTGATCGAGTTGAAGAATTTGTCAATGTAATTGAGGAAGATCTTCGTGATTGTCCTCAAATGTTTGAGCGGATAGTAAGTGATGCAGAGACTCCGTTGTATGATGGATGTACTAAATTCACAAGACTGTCAACGGTCTTAAAGTTGTATAACTTAAAAGCACGCCATGGATGGTCCGATAGGAGCTTCACAGACTTGTTGACTCTGTTAAAGGATATTTTGCCTGAGAACAACGTGCTCCCTAGTCGAACGTATGAGTCTAAACAATTGTTATGTTCTATTGGCATGAGTTACGAGAAGATACATGCTTGTCCAAATGATTGCATTTTATTTCGCAAGGAGTATGCATCGTTGAATATGTGTCCTAAATGTAGTGCCCCACGCTATAAGAAGAAAGAAACAGCTCCAGCCAAAACGCTATGGTATTTTCCGATAATACCAAGATTTAGGCGCATGTATCATAATGCAGAAGACGCAAAGAACTTAACATGGCATGCAAATGAAAGGGTTGTTGATGGAATGCTCCGACATCCCGCAGATTCTCCTCAATGGGCAAAAATTGATCATGATTACCCAAATTTTGGGAAGGAAGAAAGAAACCTACGTCTTGCATTGTCTACTGACGGAATAAATCCTAATGGTATTCAAAGTAGTAAACTTACTTCTTGGCCAGTCATTTTGTTGATTTATAACCTACCTCCATGGCTATGTATGAAGCGCAAATACACGATGTTGAGTATGTTAATTTCTGGGCCCAAGCAACCAGGAAATGATATAGATGTATACTTGGCTCCATTAATTGAAGATTTAAAGCATATGTGGGAGACAGGTGTGGAGGTATATGATGAGTATAAAAAAGAATCCTTCAACTTGAGGGCTATGTTATTTGGAACAATCAATGATTTTCCTGCCTATGGGAATCTATCAGGCTACAGTGTCAAAGGAAAATTTGCATGCCCCATATGTGAAGATGGTACACATTCAATACGATTGGAGTATTGTATGAAGAATGTATTTCTTGGACACCGTAGATTTTTAAATACCAACCATCATTTTCGAAAATGGAGAAAAGATTTTAATGGTGAATCAGAAGAAAATAGAGCTCCTTTGGCTTTGACGGGTGATCAATTATACCAAAAGGTAAAGCTTTTGAGCACTAATTTTGGAAAGCCATTTTCAAGTGAACTTGTAAAGGGAGGATGGAAAAAAAAGTCAATTTTCTTTGAATTGCCGTATTGGAAGTCATTGTATGTTAGACATTTCCTTGATGTGATGCATATAGAAAAAAATGTGTTTGAAAGTGTCGTTGGTACATTACTCAATCTTCCAGGAAAGTCTAAGGATGGCATTAATGCAAGGTTAGACCTGCAAAGTATGGGATTAAGAAATGAGTTACAGCCGGTTAAGAGGGATGGGAAGCGTACATTTCTACCTCCAGCAGCTCATACTCTGTCAAGAAAAGAGAAAAAGATCTTGTGTAAGGTTCTTCACAATGTTAAAGTTCCAGAGGGCTACTCATCAAACATTAAGAGTTTGGTATCTATGAAAGATCTCAAATTGAAGGGTTTAAAGTCTCACGATTATCATGTTTTAATGGAGAACTTTCTTCCAGTGGCTATACGTTCCATTTTACCTGAAAATGTGCGATGGACCATAACTAAACTTTGTTTTTTCTTCAAAGCTATTTGTAGCAAAGTTATTGACCCTGAGAAGTTACCGACGTTACAAAAGGAAATTGTTGTCACATTATGTGAGCTTGAGATGTATTTTCCACCCTCATTTTTTGACATAATGGTTCATCTTACAGTCCATCTTATAATGGAAACACAATATTGTGGACCAGCTTATATGAGGTGGATGTACCCGATTGAGCGTTACATGAAGATAATAAAAGGGTACGTGAAGAATCGAAGTCGACCAGATGGTTGTATTGTTGAACGATATTTAGTTGAAGAAGCCATTGAGTTTTGTACTGAATACCTCTCTAATATTGAGCCCATAGGGATTCCAATGTCACAACACTCTGGAAAAACAACAGGGGAAGGGATTGGTGCAAGTAAACTAGTAACCATGTCAGACATCGAATTGGAGCAATCACACTTGTATGTTCTACACAATGCTGATGAGGTTGAGCCATATGTTGAAAAGCACAAAGAAATACTTCAAAGTTTGAACCCTAATAAGAGTGAAAATTGGTTAACAAGAGAACACAATCGAAGTTTTATACCGTGGCTAAAAGAACACATTTTTTCAGAATTTGCTAAAAATCCTGATTCAATTTCAGAAAGATTGAGATGGCTAGCAAATGGTCCAAATTCAAATGTTCTATCGTACTCTGGTTATATAATTAACAAGTATACATTTTATACAGAAGAACATGATCATCAAAGCACTGTGCAAAATAGCGGTGTCACACTCGTAGCTGAATCTGTGCATATCTCAAGTTCCAAAAATAGAAATCCCGCATTTTCCAAATTGTCATATTTTGGGGTCATTGAACGTATTTGGGAATTGGATTACTCATGCTTTCAAGTGCCCGTGTTTGGTTGCAAGTGGGTTGACAATAACAATGGCCTTCAAGTTGACCCTGGGTTCATGAAGGTCGATCTTAATAAAGTAGGGTATAAAGACGAGCCTTTTATTTTAGCATCACAAGCTCACCAAGTGTTCTATGTCACTGATCCTGCTGATGAAAAGTGGTCTATTGTGTTTCTAAGTAACAAAATAAATGAATCAAATATAGATGTTGAGGATGACCCTTTCTTTAATACTTCACAATCCCTTGAGTCTGAATCAATTATAGATGATATTCTTTATATGAGAAACGATCACAGTGATGGGATTTGGATCAATCCATCATTTTATGTAACTAGAAAACAGAAAAGTAGGAATCCAACTACAAGGAAGAGGAAAAGGCCGACTTAATCTTGTATGGTTTATTTATTTGTTTTTCATTTTTTTATTGTTATTGCTTCTTAATGTTATTCTTGTATGGTATATAACTTTTTAAATTTTTATAGGTGAAATATGGCTTCTATTGATGATGAAAGTGGTTCGTCTAGTAAGAAAACAGTTGGTAAACGTGGTGTGACCCGATTGCAAAAAATTCACAAAGCCAAAAGCAATGGAAAGAGAATTGAGGTAAAATAGCTAGAGTTTTATGATACTGTTTACTCTCTTGGCAATTTTCCTTTTACTGAACTATGTATGAGTGATGGTTACATACATGATTATCTTTTATGAGTTAGTTGTTTGAAACTATTTGAATGTTAAACACTATTAGTGAGACTGTTGATTCTTTATTTGCACTTTAATTTTGTTATAGGTTCAATGGAATTCCAGAGGTCAACCAATCAAGCATAATAGCAAGACTTTTGCTAGTTTCATTGGTGTCACAGTTCGTCGGTTAGTTCCAATAAGCTTGGACAATTGGAGCGCGAAAAAAAATAAAGAGGCTGTGGGGGTTTATAAACAAAACATTTGGGATGAAATTGAAGTAACACACTAACTTAAGCTAGTTGTAAAATTTTAATTTCGTTAATCTATCCATTGGGATGTTTAAATAAACTGAACTATGTTTTAATAAACTGAATTATTTGCAGAAAGCTTTTATAATTGGCGAGGAACATCGTGCCTTTGTATATAGAGAAGCTGGAAAGTTGCACAGGGCATTCAGAACAAAAATGGCGAGGTCATATCTAAAAGATAGTAAGGGTGGTTTTGTTAAACATCGTCCGACCAAATATTCTTTTTGTATAAAACAAGATGATTGGGATAAATTTGTAGCCCAACATATGACTGCAAAGTTTCAGGTAATACTTTTATCACTTGGATATGGATCCTTAAAGTTTTGCATGATTATAGTATTAGTGATAGTGTTGTGGGATGCATTTTTTATAATAAATGCAGAAAGTTAGTGATGAGAATCGAGAAAGAGCGTTAAATCCTCAACATCCCTATAGAAAGTCACGTTTAGGGTGTGCTCGTCTTGAAGCTGATATGGTAAGTATGTGTATAAATGTACTATACAATATTATAAAAAAATTTAATTGCTATGTTAATTTGTAAAAATGTATATACAGGTAGAAGAGTCAGAAGTTGGTGAGATAAACCGTAGTCAAGTGTGGAAGGCTGCCCGCGTCAATAAGAGCGGGGTGATTGATAATGAGAATGTTCAAAGAGTTGTGGATCAATGTGTAAGTCGAATTTTAGATGTGACACTATAGATGTTATTTCCAAAATGCTCACATTATAGATGTGACACTTTTTCTATACTCATCATTGTTACCGAATTTGTATTTTGTTAGTTAGTTTGAAGTCATTAAACTCGATTTTCCTTAATTAATTGAGTCTTTGTGTCTTATTTTGATAGAATAGCCATTAATTGCAACTTGTATCTAACTATTGGTTATTTCTTTTATACTTATCAATGTCAGGAGAAGTTAACAGAAGCTCTATCTGAAGAAGAGAGACAAGACCTTGGTCCCACAAACATATTATTTGAGGCTCTTAATCTCCCAAACTACTCTGGACGTGTTAGGACTTATGGTTTTGGGGTATGTTCTAGGGACATATTACCACGCCAAAATCGCCCCACACAAATGGATTTTGAAAAATTGTATGGCTTTTGTAATTCACTCAAAAGTAGATTGGAGGTGCTAGAGAGAGAAAAGATTGAGAGAGATAAGTTGGATAGAGAGAAGCTAGAGAGGCAACAAACTGAAGAAGTGGAAGAAAGGCAACAACCTAAACAAGTGTCAGAGAGGTTGCAACAACCTGAAAAAGTGGCACAGAGGCAACACCTTGAACAAGTGGTAGAAAGGAAACAACCAGAAAAAGTAGCTGAGAGTCGACTACCTAGTGATAAAGGTTCTTGCAACCCTGGATCATTTGGCAACATTCCCGAGGTAATTGGTTTCTTTATTATCTCTCAAATTCGATATGTTTGTTCTTTCAATAATGATGTTAATCTTTTTATTCATATCTTATTGGTTTAGGGTCTCTTTCCTGTTAATATATATTTATCCTCCCCGAGTCGTTGTTTGGTTGCTCGTGGAAAACTATATAACACCAAAGGTAACACGGTACATGGCATGACGTTACCACCTGGATATGTCAAGGTTAATATCGAAGTTGCTATTGTGCCAAATGCCCCATTGCCTATATCTGTTGAAGATGGAGATGTATCCATGGTTGGTCAAGCAATAGGAACAATTGTGCCATGGCCAACAAACTTCTTGAATTTGTTGCTGAATGTGAAAAGGTAAATTACTTATAATCAAGTTGCTTGATCGCTACTTGTTTTATTATTTGATCACTAATATTAATTAATACAACTTTTTAGATTCCTGGTCAATCCCAAAACAAAGGTAACAATATTCAACACAGTGTTGAATATTCAGTTTCATCACCCAACAAAAGTAACAAAAAATTCAAAATCGAAGAGTCTCCTAGAGTTGGCGGTTCAACTGGTATTGCAAATTTACCTTTCCTTGATATGTATGTGAAAAAGATGATGAGGGTTGGATCATTAATTCAAATAAAAATGGAGGAAAGTATATTTGGTGAGGAGTTTTTAGAGCAACTACGTGTAGAGAGTATAAAGGAGATTCTTGATCACAATTGGTTAAGTGCATCTATTATCACTGTATTTTCCAGGTACCTCTATTATTACAAATATTCTCTTATTTGACAAATATATTATTAATATTAATGTTATTTGTATTGTTGACTAATATTCACATTGGTGACAAATATATTAATATCAATTGTTGTTCATTTCTAGGTATTTGTATGACAAGTTTATTAGTCCAAATGGATTAATAAATAAGTTCTCTTTCATATCTCCACATGTATCACGGGAGGATAATCTAGGAAATGGTATAGCAAAAATACTTTTGAAAGATGAGGAGTTTAAGGATAAGATGATTCTTGCACCTTGTAATCTAGGGTGAGATTTATATTCAAAAAGTTATTAAATTAACGAGAAAAAACTCTAATGAATGTGAATCTTTAATGCAATATTTAAATGTTGGGTGCAGGAAACATTGGGTGTTGCTTGTCATCAATCTCAATGCTGAGGTGATATATTACATGGATCCGTTGAATGGTGAGCCAACAAAACATCAAAATTTTAAAACAAAGTTTGAGAAGTGAGTATAGACTCTTTTAATTTAAAATTTATGTACGTATTATTATTTATATAATTACTCATTTGAAGTTAATTTCATTTTGTTAGCGCTTTGCAAATTTATCGTGCTAATAGTAGTTCTAAAGTGCCTAAAGTGTTAAAGTCAAAGAAAATCTCATGGCAAAAAATAAAGGTATGTGTCTAAATTAATGTTATTTTAAAACAATTATGTGGAGTAAAATTAATCGATATAAATTTTTTTTTTGTAGTGTCCTCGTCAAATTAATGGCGTTGATTGTGGATACTTTGTAATGCGATTTATGAAAGAGGTCATCATGGAAAATGAATTTATGATCCCCACAAATGTACGTGATTTTAATTATTATTATTATTCTTTTGTAAATTAAATTAATATAATTTAATTCTAACACGATTAATTGTTGATGTTTTCATATTTGAAGTACTTTTTTGACCACAAATGTCGTACCTACTCTCATGATAAGTTAACTGAGGTTAAGGAGGATTGGGCTACTTATGTGGTGGATGATGTTTTCGGTGAGTTTTTCCTTGACTTGATACTTGATAAACAAGACAAATATTACTCATGGATTTAGAGTTCAAATGTTTTGATTTAGATGTTTAATTTTAATTTTTGAGTTGGATTTAGAGTTGTCGTATAAATGATTTTAGTATTTTATTGGTTTAGAAGATATGGCACAGAGGTACTGAGTGTTCTTTCTTGGTCTCGAATTTAAATTTTGAAATAGGAAAATACGGAAAAATGACTTATATCTTATTGTATGATTGATTTATAGTTTTCCGTTTCTACTTGAAATTTTTAGATATTCGTAGTAACAATTGTAAGGTGTTTGATATCTAGTTTTGGATCATGAAAAGAAAGTTACACACAATTAAGTGTTTATGTATATTTTGAGAATTTGAATTATATTTTGTTTAGTGTTTATATGCATCTAATAATGGAAATTGTGGTCTATATATTTACAAGTCATGTTCTTGTTAGACTTAATTAGTTCAATTATTGCATTAGTTATATCGATTTATTGTTATTAGTTTATAATAATCATTCCTTATTTTATGCGCTTCTTGTTAGACCCATATTAAATGTTTGATTATTCTTTATATGTTGAATTAGTTTTTATTGTACAATACATAATCAATATTCCTTCTATGATACAGGAAAACAAGAAGCAATTATTTTGCCTAATTAGTGATTGTATCTATGAGTTCAACGCTTTTGGATCATGAAGGTGGTTACTACATGGGATTTTTTTGTTATCCTTTCTTATTTTTTTGGTGTTTTGTTTAGAGAATTTGATTGTATGTTTTTGGATTTGGATTGAAGTACTCATAGATGGGCATCTACAAATTTGGCTATGCAAACGCCCTCTTAATATTCTATATGTTATGATATTTGGAAACAATAGGATTTGGTAATTTAAAATATTATTTGGTATTTGATGGATCATAATATATATGCAATGAGTAACTTAAAGCGTTATTTGTGTTGAATTGAATATAGTTATTTTATATTTACACCAAAAAAAAATGATTGTGTAAGAAAAAATATTGTACTGTACTTATTAAAAATATTGTACCAAATATGTATCATTTATTAGCACTTTATTTGAAAGCGCTATAAAACATATGTTATATATTAGCGCTTTTTGTTTAGAGTGCTATAAAAAAACAAACAAAAAACATGCAAAATACTGACTTTGATAGCACTTTAGTTAAAACGCTATTATAAATTGGTACTTTAATAGCACTTTTAAAGTGCTATTAAATAAGAAATATTTACAATAGTGGCGCGGTTAATAGCACTTTTAAGCGCTATCAAAAACAAAAAAAGCGCTATTAAATAGCTTATTTGGCGTAGTGTGTGTAACCTTTTTTTTTGTTCATATAAAAAACAAATGCAAACAAAAATCACAGAGAAACCTTTTTTTTGTTGGAAGAAAAGAGTTTCCCAACATTTGATCTTGCATAGAATATCAAGGAATTAAAGATCCAACATATGATCTTTATGGATAATTAATTTTTTTTATGTAAAAATTGTAATATTCTAGGTAAACACTGTAGTTTGTAAATAAATTATTTTATTAATGTTCTGTGTAAACAATGTAACGAGTTTTTATTAAAAAAAACTAATAACCCCTCGATTTTCTTGATAAACCGAGATAAAAAATATGTTAGTTTTTTTAAATAATAAAAGTGCAGAAGTTGGGATTCAAATCCATACGCTAATAAAATTATACTTCGGTGGTGATAAGTCTTTACTTTTTATGACGACCTTATTTACTTCGCTTCTAATACCGAGGTAAAACATATTTCGCGTCCGACGTTAGATGTATTATTTGTAGTAGTGATGAGACCTTGCCATCACCTATGATATCTTTCAAGGACTTGTCAAGAGATTCAAAATAAAATTTATTTGTCATTGGAACCTCATCCCATATTATCATTTTTGTTATTTGCAACAATCGAGCAAGGTCCAAATTTTTTTCAATGTTACAAATAGATGATTCCAGACATGGAACATGAATCTTGGATGCACTGTTCTACCTCTTGATAATAGTAGACTTGCAATTTCACTTGATGCAATATTTAAAACAATATCACATTTAGAACGTAAAGTGCTGAAAATGTGTTGTACATTAAAGTTTTTTCAATTCTACCATAACCATATAAAAAACACACCTCCTTTTTGTCCAATCACAACATGCATAATTTCATTAAAATTTTACCGTTATTCATCTACTTGAAAAAAGAAAGTTGAGTTAGTCATAAGCAGATATGTTGCAGCTTAATGAAAAGAATAGTGTACTAAATGCTCAATATTCCATGAAAAGATAGAATTTTCATAATCTAAACACATTTACACCAACAAATATGCAGCTCAAAGTTGCATAATTGTTTGCAGACACTAACTTAAAAATATATACGCATTGCATGAATGAGATAAATAGATAAGCATAAATGATCCAAAGTTAAAGAAGGAGGAAAATATTATTTTGATGTTACCTATACTTATCAGATCATTTGTATAGTTTCTAATTGTGTAAAACTTCTATGTCATACAACAATAATGATTTGATAGTGAAATGTTTGTCAACTCATAAGCATAACACAGTGTGAACTTAAGTTGAGGACAAATTTGAATTGAAATTGGGGCTAAAAGTGTAATGGTTTTTAAAATTGGGGACAATGTTGTACTATGATGGATACTGAAGTGTTTACTGATATTGGTTTTAAAAGTGTAATGGTATTTATTGCATATAGTAATGAATAATGAGCATAGTTTTAAAAGATAAAAGAAACAAATAAGCAGTGTTAATTTGAAAAAAAGTTGAGTTATCAATAAAGAAGTATTTTTAAAAGATGAAGTTGACAGAAAATAATATATATATTTATTTAAAATATTTATTTAGTTTCATCCCCTCCTTGGCTCCAAAAAAATATTATTTTCTGTGGAAATTATATATTTTTTAAATGTTAGTACAAGTTATTTTGTGCGGGAAACATTTCAAAATCAAAACTTAAAGGTTAGAGAATTGGTTTACACTAAGGCTGGACAGATTATTCCGAAATCGGTCCAATCCGACCTACCCAAGGGCCCGTTAGTAAGCGGTTCGGGTCAAACGGGTTATCGGGTAATCGGTTTTGCAAGAAATGGATGCATATGAATTGTACCAATCGGTTTCGGATAATATGTTTGGGTCCATCGAAATCCAAAACCGACCGGCCTAGGTTACAGATTTTCAATTTTGTATTTCATTTTTCATTTTAGTTTCAGTGAAGGCAAGTCTTTTACTAAGCAGAGTGCATTTATTCTTGTTTCCTCTCACCGTTCATCGTCAACCTAAAATCGTCGTCGTTTCGATCTTTGAATTGTTCGTCTCCTTCCGCACAAGGCTTCTCGCACGAAGAATATCTAGTGAACAAAAGCACTTCCAATCAAGGGGCACGGCATGATCATTGTCCATAATCTGGGCCAGTCAAGTCAAGATTCAAGGAATCTCTCAAGATGCCAAATAGTCAGGGGCAGATCTCCGTCTGAATCACTTGGGGCATTGAACATTAATTCCAGCATCAAATCTTGCATGATCAAATATCTTCTGGTGATATGACAACACAACACTACTGACAGTGACAACTCCCTGCATCCTGAGAGCATGGACATAGTCAAAAAAATATTACGCATAATCAAAGACCCGCTAGGTCGACTGGCCTACGCAAAAACAAGGGCTTCCCGGCGAACCAAAAGGGTTCGGGCAAAAATGAGGGATGGAAATGAAAAAAATCTGTACACCCGGCAAGTCGAAAACCTGAAAAGGCGGCTTGAGCAAAAAAGGGTATCCCGATGGACTGAAAACCCGAAAGGGCGGTCCAGGCAAAAATTAGGGATCAAAGCGTACGACTATGTCCCGTCATCTCGTCACTTGTCTACCAGAAGAAGATTTGTCAATCGGCAGTCATCAAGCACCTCCACAGGTACCTTCTCCCACAGAAACTGGGGCAATAAGAATTGTCCGAACTGTACAAGCCGTTCTGTCCACCAGGTACTAAGATAGGTTCAGCTGAAGAACATGACCGAGATATCTTCACTCCCCGCAAAGTAAGACAAGATTCAGCAATACTCTCCCCAAGCAGAGTGGGTCTCCCATCAGCCCTAAAAAGGGCACAATATCTCCAGCAAGTCAGCAATACTCTTTCCCCGAGCAGAGTTGGTCTACCATCAGTCCTGGAAAAGTTGGGTATCCCCAGAAGATCTTCATATTCTCCAGCAGAGTATACAAATATTCCTCAACAAGCATCCCCGGCAGTCTTAATATTCCTCAACAGGAATATAGGATTGTTCCCCGGAGGAATACAAGATACCTCCAGTGGAGCCATTTCCTCAAAAGTTTCCCCAGGAGAGTTGAATCATCTCCCTAGTAGATTCTGGAAGCTTATCCCCTGCAGAGTACAAAGGTTATTCCCCACCAGAGTCTAACTGGGTTATCCTCAGCAAATTGCAACGGAAAGACCGTCCTCAGCGAAGTTCTTCCTATCCTCAGCGAAGTTCGTCAAATTCCCCAACAGAGCATAACAACGGAATCCCCAGCGGAGTTATCATTAAAACCTCAGCGAAGTATCTCTTCCCACAGAGTAATTCCCTTCAGAGTAATCCCTTCACTAGGTTCATTCCCCAATGGAGTCATCTTCTCCTACCGGTTTATTCTTGCAATCATCTTCGTCCATCATCCTCAGCGGAAACGAAGAACTCTACTCTTCAACATCAGCCCAGGATTCAACGAACTTCCCGGCATTTGTCAAAGATTTATTTTCCCAGACGAAAATACATTCATAAACATATCACATTTCACATCTCCTATTTACATACATGATAAAGTGCATACGACACGACCTCATTTATTCTGGAGAACATCATGACGTCATGCATTTCATACATCATGACATTGCATACAACTAACTCTTTACCTTTTCAGGAAAGATCGATCAACAGATAAAAGTCACTACCTTTTGAAGTAGCAGTCGTTCAAGATTCCTTCATCATCCTGCTGAGGTAGTAATCGTCCCTGATTCCTTCATCATCCTGCTGAGGTAGTAATCGTCCCTGATTCCTTCATCATCCTGCTGAGGTAGTAATCATCCCCGATTCCTTCATCATCCTGCTGAGGTAGTAATCGTCAAGATTCCTTCATCATCCCGTTGAGGTAGAAGTCGTTCAAGATTCCTTCATCATCCCGTTGAGGTAGAAGTCGTCAAGATTCCTTAATCATTCTGCTGAGGTAGTAATCGTCCCTGATTCCTTCATCATCCTGCTGAGGTAGTAATCGTCCCTGATTCCTTCATCATCCTACTGAGGTAGTAATCGTCCCTGATTCCTTCATCATCCTGCTGAGGTAGTAATCGTCCCTGATTCCTTCATCATCCTGCTGAGGTAGTAATCGTCCCTGATTCCTTCATCATCCTGCTGAGGTAGTAATCGTCCCTGATTCCTTCATCATCTGCTGAGGTAATAATCGTCCCTGATTCCTTCATCATCCTGCTGAGGTAGTAATCGTCCTAGATTCCTTCATCATCCCGCTGAGGTAGTAATTGTCCCTGATTCCTTCATCATCCTGCTGAGGTAGTAATCGTCCCAGATTCCTTCATCGTCTATTTGGATTAGCAATCTTCTCAGATTCCTTCATCACATCATTAT